TCCACCAGCAGCCATATCTATAGTAGATCTAAGAGAACTAATAAGACCATTAATAAAATATTTGAGTAATAAGGTAATTGAGTAATACATGGTGGGGATACTTCCTAATAAATTTTTTAAATCATTCCCACGCTTGAAAAATTGGCTCTCCACCAAATTGGGTAAAATACTTGGTTAAAAATTTATGAGCCAAGTCTACCATGCAGTGATTGATGAGAAAATTATCATTCCCATGTGGATTGGAAATTTCCCTAAAATAACTCTAGTACTTGTTATAAGAACCTCAATATTTATCTTATTGATTGATTAATAAGGGTTGATGCAAATAAAAGTATGAATTATTGATTCAAAAGATAAAATTAACAAATTAAATATTCTAAAGTTATGATATTTTTTCCTGTGTCATGCTCGTTGGAGTATTAGCTAAGATTTCTCTTAGCTACAATTTTAATATCTCCCTAAGATCTCATAATCCTAACCAACATATTTTTTTTGCCTGCTTAGACACCCAAAGGCTTGAATATCATCCCTATGCAAGCTCTCCACCACCATTTAAACCATTTTGCATTGTTTCGAAACATCTAAACCTCTATAAAGTCTTTATTTACATCTCTCCTATGATAAGTAAGTGGTGTTTCATTTTTAACAAAATTCAATATAAGAACCATACTTTGATTGCCACTAATTTTGTACCAAAACCTTTGTTTTAAGATACTTGTTATCAAGGAATTAAAGGAATCCAATGGATAACATTCAATTCAATTATAAATCTTCATCAAACATCAATTCTTGGTGTTCTCCTTCTTAAAAGTACAGTTGGAAAATAATTATTTGCAAGTAGAATGTGATAAATGTGCATCTGACCTCCAAAATTTCTTTAAGGAATTCAAGCTTTATATGCGAATTTTCATGAAAGAAATATATAAACATTGAATAATTTGATTATCTAAAAAAACTATAAAATCCAAAATTCATGCAAATAGTGAATTGCCTAATTCAATTGATGATGAAATGCAATAATTTCAAAATAAAATAAACTAGCAATTATATATATATATGTATATCATATATCTGTATTTGTTTCTCCAATAATTTCACTATTTATCATGTTATAATGGTATTTCAAATCCTTCAATAGTTGTATAAAAATACAATAAATTTAAGTAAAACCCATTAGAGGTTCTAGATATATTTTATGAATATCCTAATATTTTTACATTAAATTATATGTTATACAAGTTAATTTATGTAATAATTTTTTAAAGTATTATATAGTACTTTTTAAGAGGTTAATTAGCACAATTTTTAAAAAATAAATATTATATTTTTGAGGAAAATAAAAGTTTATGAATTGACATTTTATAAGCTCCCATTAATATTTACAAGCCTAAGCTCTTTGCTGCCCTATTTTGTATGCATGTAGCCAACCTTTAGATGGGTTGTATTCATATTCCTAATCTTCTGATTATTCATACCAATTTTTTTCTTTTGTATTGTATATATATATCTGCTTAGATAAATTAAATCTGTTTACTGAATGAACCCACTCTACTAGGGTTTTGTTCCCAGCCATTTCTCCTACTTCTGCCTTCATCTACTTATTGATGTTCATAGGGATCATCATTAATCTGCTCAACAAAGTGCTTTTCCCACTTCTTTTGTTGTTTATTCTTTTATCTTCTTATCAATATATGTTGTTTGGACCTCTTTGTTCATTCAAATTTCTTTGACTATTTCCTTATTATTTTTTCTCTTTTTTTTTGTTTTACAAAGTTGATTTTCATCCTTGTGTGCCCTCTCTAAGGGTTTTTTCTAGTACTTCGGTTGCTAATTTTAGCTCACTTTTGGACCAAGTTTTTCTTAATGGAAAAAAATTTGATCATTTAAAAATGTTTTTTATGGTTCATCATCTTTGAATTATTTCCCAAATCTAAAAGCTTCCACTCATTATGGATGGCAACTTTGTGGATTTATAACGAAGAAGAAGAATTCATTATCGTGCCTTCCCAATTTATTATAATAAGTAAGTTTACCATATGTAGACCTAATTTGGATTTGATTCATTATGTTTTCTTCAATCTTAAGTTAAGTGGGGGTTTCTATGTTATGCTGCTTGACCCGAGATAAGTGCTCATTAAACTTGAGAATGTTTTGAACTATTATTGTGTCTTTGGACACTACTCTTAATATGTCAACAAAAGCTAATTAAATGGACCATTCCTTCGATATTTCTGTGGAATATATGATTATTTCTATTTCAATTTCATTTATGGATCTTAAACATCATTTTTTCTACTAGAATCCTATATTGTTTTGGATCCCTTTTTGGTTGTCTTTTTTTTTTTTTTTTTTTTTTTTAAAGAGCAATAAAAATTGCATAAAAACTAGAAAAGAGGACACATAAAGAAGAACAGCATGCTAAATGCAAGCTTCTGATTCCTCCATCAAAATATTAACAAATGATGGAGGAACCGAGTCCAAAAATAAATCTTCCCAGCAAAAAGAAGAAAAAACCCCAAAGTTAGCACAAAGATCCGCTAACTTATTACAATTTCTCTTAATGCAGTTAAAAAAAACAAAGTTCAAATCAAAAATAAAGGAAAATTTATCATTACCTCTTCTTCCTTTTTTGAGAGCTTTGTGAATGATCTTGATGACATTTGTATTGTCACTCTCAATAATGATACCTTTGAAATCATTAATCCATTTATTGATAACATCTTGAATGGATATTATTGCTAGAAGTTCCAGATAAGTAATATCCCAATGCATTTGAGGAAAGCCGAAAGCTGCAATCAATCGACCTTTGTGATCTCTGACAACTCCTCCTATACCACCTTTATAAGAAGAATATAAAACCGCATCAACATTTATCTTGATCCAATTGGGTGGAGGAGAGTACCAACGGTCTTCTAACAGCATAAGCTGATTAGTACTCAACCGGACCATAGATGAATAATTGGTAGACTTAGAAGCTCCAACATATGTGATAGCCTTCACTGCAATGAAAATTGAGCTTCTTTCCTTCTTACCATGAACTAATTCATTTCTCTCTTTCCAAGTGAGATAAATGGCATTACATAAAACTTTGGAAATGAAATTATTTTGCTTTTCCAACCAATTTAAAGTATCATCCTTGGAAGAAAAATTTGGAATACCAATTCCCCAATTATTCAAATCGTGAATAACATCTGTAATTTTTAAACAATTACAAATCACATGATCAATGTTCTCCTCTACATTGCAACCTCTTGGATAATTCACCAGTCTTCCTATTTTTCTATAGGAAAGAAAAGCTAAAGTAGGCAGGGCATCATTTAATACTCTCCACCAAAAATATTCAGCCGGGCATTAAATTTAGAACTTTTTAGCCACTTCCATCTATTAGAAACAGGGGACTGGTAAATATTATAGTTTGCAGCAATAGAGGTGATAGTTTTACCTGAATCCATATATAAAAGCTGAAATTGATCCTCTACTAGATCATTTTTAATTTTAATCAAACAAATCAGATTTATAAGTTCCAGCCCAAAGAATTTTTCCAGTTCTGTCAAGTTCCAACAACCATCGGTTATAAAACTATCCAGAGAATAAAAATCTGTCATATCCACTAGTGAATTGACAAACGTTGGCCATCTATTGAGACTTTTATCAAAAATCCAGATGTCCTCCATAACATTGATTGATTGTCCATTGGCAATCTCCCACCTCATAATTGGTTTTAGATGTTTGCTCCTGTCTTTAATAATCTTCCATGCCACCGAAACTGATCTGTTTCTGTTTCCAATGTTCCAAATAGAACCGTATTTAGGAAATAATGTTTTATGCAATAGAGAATCACCCTCTTTTAAGTATTTCCAAGCTATTTTAGCTCTAAGAGGACCAACTTTGTTGATACAAGAATGTATCCCCCTACCACCGTTATCAACTGGTTCACAAAGTTTGTTCCAGTTAACATAATGTAATCCTTGCCCATTATTACCTTTATTCCAAATGAAATTCTGACATAATTTTTCAATCTCTTCAAGGATTGATTTTGGAATTAAAGAAACAGTAGTATAAAAAGAGGGAATGGAAAGAATAACCGATTTGACTAAGGTGATTTTGCCGGCTAGAGACAAAAATTTAGAACCCCAACTATTTAACTTTTTCATAACATTATCAATAATGAATTTATAATCAGATCTGGATAGTCTTCTCAAAACCAATTTAGATCTCAGATAATAGAATTCTTTCACTTCTTTATATCCCAATATGTTTTTAATCTTCCTCTTTATCCTTGTGTTGACAGCTTTACCAATGAACAAACCAGATTTAGCTGTATTGACTTTCTGTCCGGTCCAGTTACAATACTTCTTAATGATTTCCATAATCAACTTTACATTAGTGATTTTAGCTTCAGCAAAGACCATTACATCATTAGCATAAAGGAGATGTGAGATTCTAGGACTATTGCTGCTAACCCGCACACCAATATTTTCCTTCTCCAAAATAGCATTTGAAAGTAACTGAGAGCAGAGATTAAAAAGATATGGTGACAAGGGGCATCCTTGTCTAAATCCACTACTAGCTTCAATCCAGTTATAATGATTCCCGTTAATTAAAATATCATAAGAAGGGTTCAACACACAACCCATAATCAACTTGGAGAAGGATATAGGGAAACCAAAATAATCCAACACTTTGCAAAGAATCGGCCACCCCATGGAGTCATAGGCTTGTTCCATGTCTAACTTGATAGAAACCAATCCCTTAGAAGCTTTAGAGTGTCTGAATTTATGAAATACCTCTTGGGCAATAAGAACAAGATCATGAAGCATCCTTCCTTTGATAAAGGCCGCTTGCTCCAGAGAAATCAGTTTAGGAATAGTATTGTTGATCCTGTTGAGAAGAACTTTGGAAATTAATTTTTAGACCGTATCACACAGACTAATAGGTCTATAATGAGTTGCATAAATTTGATTACTGATTTTGGGAATCAACACAATTTGATTTTTTTTTCAATTCTTATTCATATCAGCTGTAAGGAGGAATAGTTGGATAGCTTTCCATAAATCTGATTTAATAATGGGCCAGTAACTCTTAAAAAATGAATAAGAAACACCATCTTCTCCTGGAGCTGTGCAAGCTGTAGTTCCTTTAAGTGCTTCTTCCACTTCTTCTATAGAAAAATCTTTACAAAGCGTCAATCTATCTTGATCATCTGGACACTTTGTATTCTCCGGCCAACCATTGAGTATACAATTTTTTTCAGACCATTTATTTTTGAAATAATGAATCAGAACTTCTTCTATCTCATTATGATTATCAAATAAATTTCCCAAATCATCCTTAATGCTAGCAATGAAATTGACATTTTTCCTAGCACTAGCAAAAGAGTGAAAAAATTTAGAGTTTTGATCACCTTCATTAATCCACTTCACTTTTGCCCGTTGTTTCCACCAGGTACTTAACAGAGACAAAGTTGAGTTTAATTCACCAATTTTGAATTTCAGCAAACAAATTTCATCATAAGATAGCAATCCATTCCTAGCTTCCTTCTCTTGAAGTAGTAGAATCTCCCTTTTAAGTGTTTCCTTGAATTGTTCCAAGTTTTGGTGCTTTGTCCTGCTCCAAAAGTATAAGGTTTTCAGAGTTCTTCTCATTTTAGTATTAAGAATATCAGAACGAGAACCAACAAATTTTCTGTTCCAAACGTTCTGCACTACTGAAAATGAAGCCGGGTAAGAAGCCCATATATTCTCAAACTTGAAAGATTTGCTGATTTTAGGAGACGAACTGTTAAGATTCAAAAGAATAGGGTAGTGATCAGATGCGATTCTAGGAAGATGCTTAACCACTAGAAGTTCATTAGTATTGACAGAATAAGAATTAACAATCATCCTATCCAATCTTTCCATAATCCGGTCCAGCCCTTTCTTATTGTTACTCCAAGTAAACATAGGTCCCATGAATTTAAGTTCATAAAGATTATTAGAAATCAAAAAAGATTTCATATCTTTAGGTCCTAAAGACATTTTAAATCTTCTACCTCCTTTCTTCTCTTCTTTAGAAAGAAAACAGTTAAAATCCCCACCAATGATTAAAGGAAAATCAATAGAAATGTGAGGATCCAAACCATTCCAGAGATCTCTTCTTTTGTGTACTTCTTTACTGCCATAAGAAGTAGCAATCCTCCATTTACCAATGAGAGGAATATCCAGATCACCAATAATAAATTGTGAAGATGAATCAATCACTTTATAAGAGGCCATCCTGCTCTTCCACATTACCAATATCTCTCTTTAGAGACCAGCTGAAGGAACATAATTGAAATCCCAACCAATGCCAATTAAAGAATTCACTTTCTTACTGTCAATAAAAGACAATTTAGTTTCCAAAAGGGCAAAAAAAATAACTTTATGTTCTTTAACAATCTTCTTAAGGTATAGAGAAGCCTTTTTTTTTCTTGGCTCCTCTACAATTCCAAAACACTATGGAATTCATTTATGGATAAGTGGGGAGGGACTCCCCCCTTTCTCCTTCTCAATGCCTTCAGTTCTCCTGTTTCTTATAATCAATTTTACAGGTCCCAGTCCTTTTAATTGTTTCAAACCTTTCTTCTTAGCTGTATTAGAAATATCTCCCAGATTTTTATGAACAGCATTTGATAGAAACACCAAGTTTTGATTTTCTTCTGTAATATTAACCCTGCTGAAATTTTGTTTTTCTGGAAGAATCAAATCTTCATTAATCTCCTTCTCCTCTGATAGAACTTTTAAGGCTTCAAATTTGTTGGTGTTCTGAAACTTATCCTAAGACGGGCTGAAAATATCTCTGTTTTGGAGACATTATCACCTTCAATATCTCTATCTGAAACTATTGAAGAAAACATCATAGCACTGGTCTCCTTATCCATTTTATCAGAAATTTTTGAACTGAATTCAACCTGATCATTTGTAATTTCAACTAGAATTTCTTTTGAATTTATAACTTCTTTATTAAAACTTTGAGATTTGTTAACAGTTCCAGGAATTTTCTTCTTTTTGTTTCCAACTTGAATCCAAGGCCCATTTTCCTTCCCAGTCTCATCATTATCAGCAAACTCTTTAAATGATGTGTCATTCAGGTTCCTGTCTTCAATCAGAATTTCATCATTAACCCGAATATCCTTATCTGGCTTAGCATTGATACCTGGTATCACTTTTTTTGAACAATCTTCTTTGAGATCTCCAATCTTTCCACATGTAAAACAAAAAGTGTGTAATCTCTCATATTCAATGATTTGATAAAACTTTCCCAAGTTACCTTCAACCCAAACTCCCAAAGGTAATGTTTCATCAAGTTTATTACGCACATAAACTCTTGCGTATTCTCTTCTACTCCATTGGAACATATTCCCATCAATCAAATAAGGAGTACCTGTTGACCTCCTTATTCGAGGTCAAATTCCTCAGAATCAACTCTAGTACCTAGGTTTTCGTAGCCTAGTGTAGATGTCACACCCGCAGGATTTCCCTTAGGTGGATACCCACTGACGTAGCATTGACTCGAACCTATCACTCAACTCGAATCAAAATCAATTCAATCCAATTTCAATTCAACTCCAAAACAAACTCAAATCAAGTACATTTATCATTCATCAATGTCAATTGATTCATTTAATTTGATCTAATTTATTTTTGATCAAATTGATACATTATTGGTCTCAAATCAAATCAATCAATTGAAATCAAAATTAATTCTATTAAATTTGATTTAGATATTCAAAATCCTCCTAAAAATTTATTTCAATCTCAGCCCATTGGATCCTTCTCAAAATCAAGTTCTAATCTAAACTTTTAATTTTGGGAGAGAGAATATTAGGATTAAAGCTCATTGAACCGAAGCCACTACCTCCTCTGGACGAGCAGAAGAAGTTGCATTCTGTCGCCTCTTCTGCCTTAGCCGACAATAAAGCCATCCTAATCTTGGGTAATTTCGTCTACATCCTCTCCATCTTCTTCTTCTCTCACTTTTGTTTGATGTCTTCTTGTTGCGACTTTGAAATTTGAATTGTATGAAAGTTCTTTTAATTGTTTCTTTTTGTAGAAGGATGAGGAATATATCAAAAGAATTTCTTTAATTCATGGGTATTTGTATTTGATTCGATACAATACCACATATTTTATGTTGAGTCTCTCTTTGAGTTTTAGAAGAGAATTTAGAATATTTTCAAAATCTTAGGTATACGCAATGGTAGCCTAATGTGATGAAAACTTGTGTAAAGTGATTGGCAATATTTCAAGTGTATGATTTAAAAATTGGAAAAGAGAGTATTTTGAAAATTAAAGTGATTTAAATATGTGCATTTTGGAAAAGTGAAAAGTGAATGTATACATGTATCTAGTGGGTCATGATTGGTAGAGTCTTGTGACGCTTTGCAAATATCAATCTTCTCGTTATAAACTACAAAGTATTGAAGTTGGCATGTGATGAATTTCATTGTGTTGGAATACTTTTGTAAAGAGTTAAGATTTTTGTTGTACAAGGCATAGTTTAATTGGAGAAGTTGTATGCTTTGTTTCGTGTGTATATGTTTTTTTTAAGGGTGATATGTGTGAGTGTGGAAAAGAGAAGTGTTTTTTGTAAAAAGTGTGCATTGGAAAGTATTTATATTCTGAAAGTTTAAGAAGTGGAACTAATGTGTTTTGAAAATTGAAATTCGAGTTGATGTTTATCAAAGATGGGGAGTGGAGATGGTAGGTTTTAAAGGTAGAAGTATATGTTGGAAGGGTGTTGTGTAAGCAAAATGAAAGGTTTTGTTTTGAAAATGATAAATGTATGTGTTTAATCGTGGAGTGTGTGTATGTTGGAAAGTGAAATGATGGGTTTTAAAAGTGATCTTGTGCATGTTTTGGAAGGTAGAGATATATTTGGACTTGTATATATATATATATATATTTGAAATAATAGAAGTTGTATATATATGAGAAATAAAGGTAGTATGTAAGAAAGGTGAAAAATTATTTGTATATGTTTTGAAGTTTTGAAAGAGGTATTTATTGAGTTTGCAAAGGTAAAAATGTGTAAGTTTTGGAGAAGGGGTTATGTGGATGGTTTGAGAGTAAATGGTTTGGGTGATCTTTGAAATGTAAAATTTTAAAGAAGAGTAAAAGATTTATTTTTCTCCTTACCTTTCTTCTTCTTCTTTCTCATTCTTGTGCCTCGGGATAAAAATTGAAAAGGTATACAATGTTCTATCAAAAGTGAAAAGTTCGAAAGGTAAGCAACAGAATTGGTGTTCAAGCCCGAAGAAAGGTACGTCTTTATTTTTAGTAAATTTCAAATATTTTATTATTTATTATTAAACATGCTCTAATCCTTATTTTCTTTTCTTTATTGGCATGAACTACGAGGAACGGTACTGATCGAGTGGACAAAAGTACAAGGAGCTAAAGGCGTCAGTCGCCTCTATCCAGCCGGGTAGAGGTGCTACAGGCGGAACCACCGGGTCATAGCCCCCGGTGACAGTGAGTATTCTAAACTTAGAAAACCTTTAGGGGCCCCTTGATGTGGTTTGTGCGAACCCTTATCCCTTTTAGGTCTTTGTAGTAACTTCAATTTTATTAGGTTTACTTTTTGTTTTATTTTAGATCCTTAAACTCCTTTATACACACGCAATGTCCTAAGGGTTAGTAATAACAAAGATTTTCACCTATATAACAGTAGTGACACTTAAGGAAAAAAATTAAGGACCGGGTCTTAGAAAATTTAGACTTAGGATGCATGTACACTTTAGGGTAGAGACATATAACATAGAAAACCTAGTGACATTCATTATTATTATTATTATTATTATTATTATTATTATTTTATTTTATTTTATTTTTACTTATTTATTTAACAAATTAAATTTAATTAACTAAATTTTTTTTAAATAATAATTTATTTAGGTCATATCAAAACCACACAACCTGTTGCACACACTTAGAATTGTTTGTTAGGACAACTTACACTAGATTTAGGTTAGGCCGGTGTTTATTTTCTTACTGCTGTGTGACGGGCTTTCTCGATTCTCACTGCATGCTGATTGTAAAATTACTGGTGTGTTTGTTTATTTATTTTTACTGCACTCTGTGTTGTGATTTGATTAACGATTAGATTACTCATAGGTTAGGAGTGATCTGGGTTGTTAACAAGATTTCTTGCAGGTGGCCACACTCGTGCAGGGCAGAAAAAGGGGGAGCTAATTAACCAAAAAATTTATATAAATGCTACAGGTACTACAGTTGCTTAGCCCCCAAATAAAAAGAATGTGGCCAAGTATGACTTAATAATTTAAATTCAATTGCATATAAATATAACTGCGTGGGATGATTTTTATTATAAATTGCTTAGGATAACATTGCAGGTGGATTAGATTTTTCTTCCCTTTCTGTGAAATGAAATGTAATGTAAATATAATATATTAAGAGTCAAAATTGTGAAAGTGATTTTGAAAAATGGGATATCACATTCAATTTGGAATCAGAAGAAAAGAGAATATACCTTAAAGAATTATTTTCTTTTATTTGGAAAGCCAAATTAGGATGATTCAATATCCAAATAGAAAAGAAAATACCCCCTCTTAGGGATGAGTTTCTTTTCATTTGGATATCCAGAACCCGGCGGACCCGAGAAGCTCGTAGAAGAAGAAAAGATAGAACGAGAATATTGAAGAAAGAAGATGAAGAAATAAAGATTCAAGGAACAGTATCTCCCAGTTCAAAAATCACTTGCGTCATTCTTAGGATTAGAATCCGGGTTTGTTGTCAGTGGTGCCCGGACACTTTACTTTTCTGCAAATTCTGGGTGTAATATGGGCATTGGACATTGGATATTATAATTTTGGATTATTTAATTTGTTTGTTTACAATATTTGTGCAGTAGCTTTTTTTAGGGCCCTTGCATGTCGTGTTTTGTTTTAGCCTGGATTCGAATCGGAGAGATTTTTTTCGTAAGGGTACGCTCAAAATTCTTTTACTTGAAATTCTAATAAAATTTTTCGGCTCACATAGTAACTCTAACGATCTATGAAGTAAGCTCGGTACCGCTGAGAGTCAGCATAAGCATATTAATACTTTCTCTTCCTTGTTAGGCACCTCCCCACCTGCGGGTTCTGGCAGACCACTTGACCTATGAGGGTGCAGTTCTGTCAAGGGGAAGTTGTGCAATCTCTAGGGAAAAACCTATTTTCTAAGCCTAATTTTTAAATTGCTTCATATTCATTTTATGCATTCGAGTCAATTAGCATGCATTGAAGGATTCA